TGAGTTCAACTATTAACCCAGCACTGCCCACTTCACCACTAAACCATGCCCCTAAACACTATATCTGCATGTCTTTTAGATACCTCCAGGGTTCGTTGACTTAACCACTTCCCTGGGCATCCTGTTACAATGCTCAACAATCCTTTCACTGAAAAATTTTTTTCTATATCCAATCGAAACCTCCCCTGGCACAACTTCAGGCCAATTTTTCTTGTCCTATTGCTTGTTACTTGGAAGAAGAGACTGACCCACACCTTGCTACAACCTCCTTTCAGGCAGTTGTAGAGAGTGATAAGGTCACCTCTGAGCCTCCTTCTCCCCATGATAAACAACCCCAGCTCTCTCAGCCACTTGTCAGAAGAACTGAGTTTCAGCTTCTTCACCAGCTGTGTTGCCCTTCTCTGGATCTGCTCCAGCACCTCAATGTCCTTGTAGTGAGGGGCCCAGAACTGGACACAGCACTTGAGGTGTGGCCTCATCAGTGCCAAGTACAGAGGGACAATCACAGCCCTGGCCCTACTGGTTACACTCTTGCTGATACTGGCCAGGATGCCACTGGCCTTGTTGGCCATCTGGGCACACTGCTGGCTCATGTTTATCAGGATGTTCAACAGCACCCCAGGTCCTTTTCTGTCAGGCAGCTTCCCAGCTACACTTCCTCCAAGTGTGTAGCACTGCATGTGCTTGTTGTGACTCTAAAGCAAGACTCAGCACTTTGTGCCTCGTTCAGCTTCATACAATTGACTTTGCCCCATCAATGCAACCTGTCCAGGCCCCTTTGCAGAACCTTCTTGCCTTCCACCAGACCAAGACTTCCACCCAACTCCGTGTCACCTGGAATATGACTGAGGGTACACTCAATTTCCTTGTACAGATCATTGACAAAGATATTAAACAGGACTGGCCCCAATACTGAGCCCTGGGAAACCCCCACCCCCGTGACTGGCCACCAGTTGGCCTCCATTAAACATCCCTCTCTGTGCCCAACCATCCAGCCAACATTTTACCCTGTAAACAGTGCACCTGTCCAAGCCACGAGCAGCTCACCACCTTTGGGTGGATCCCATACAGCCCCAGAGACTTGGGTCTGTCTAAGTGGTGTAGCAGGTCACTGACCATTTCCCCTTGGATTATGAGGGCTTCATTCTGCTCCCTGCCCATCTCCCAGGTCAGGGGCTGGGTTCTCAGAGAACAGCTGGTCTTACTACTAAAGACTGAGGCAAAAAAGGCATTGAGTACCTCAGCCTTTTCCTCATTCTCTGTTCCTGTGTTTCCCCTCCCATTCAACAAAGGATGGAGAGCCTCCATGGCTCTTCCTTCATTTGTCACAAAGGTATTTATTGAAACAGTTTTATTGTCTTTTATGGAGTAGCCAGGGTAACTCCTAACTGGGTTTTGGTCCTTCCAATTTCCTCCCTGCAATACCTCATGAGGTCCTCGTAGTGCTGCTGAGCTGCCTGGCCATTCTTCCACAGGTAATCAACTCTCCTTTTTTTCCTGAGTTCCAGATAAAGCTCTCCATTCAGCCATTCCAGTATTTCGGCACATGAGGACAGCCTGCTCCAGTGTCTTTAAATGTCCCTTCTTGAGGAATATCCAGCTTTCCTGGAATACTTTGCCCTTCAGGACTGCCTCCCAAGGGACTCTACCAATGAAGCTCCTGAAAAGGTCGAAGCCTGCCAAGGCTTTGGGAGTCCAAGACAGCAATTCTGTTGAGCCCCTTCCTTAGTTTTCCAAGAACAGAAACCTCTTATCATTTAATGGCTGCTGTGCCCAAGACTGCTGCTGACCATTACCTCACCTACAGTCCTCTTCTGTTCACAAACAGCAGGTCCAGCAGGGCAGCTTCCCCAGCTGGCACACTCACCAGCTGTGCGGGAAAGCTACCTTCCACACAGTCCAGGAACCTCCTTGACTGTTTCCTCTAAGCTGTTTTGCATTTCCAGCAAACATCTGATAAGCTGGAGTCCACCATGAGGACAAAGGCCAGAGATGGGGATTTACTAGAGTGCAGACCTAAATGTTAGCTGTTCAAACCTAAAAAAAAAAAAAAAAAACAAAAAAAACAAACAAACTTGCAGAAGAATCATATGTATGTAAATCTGGCAAAAAAATGTAGATGCTGCTAATATGCATGCTTGCCATTAAGCATCAGGAAATTTCCATCAAGGATGGAAATGCTATCTGGGAAAGGGCAGAGCTGATGTAGAATAAGGATCGTTAGGGAGACTTTGGTGTAGTTGCACAGATCTTGTGCTTGGTATGTTACATGAACTGTCTGCCCTATCAGTAAGACTGTCCTTTGAGTAGGGAAGGCTTAACTGAGTACTGAGAATTTAATGTATGTTTCATGTATCCCATTTTTAAAGTTTTGCAATCTGAGAAGTGTATCTTCATGTTTTCCAAACACCTGATACAAGCCAAAATACCCAGTGAAGGCAAACTTTCTTCTCCTTTAGTCTGATTAAGGTAAATTAGTAAATTGGCAAAATCCAAGTGCAGAGCAAGTACTTTCCAAGTTTGCATAATCAAATGAAAAGAAGTAAGAGCTACTAATCATGTGAATGTCATCTCTGCTTTCTGAAAGTATCTGGATAATACACATCCAAAAACTTTTCACATCCATGGCTAAGGATCCACTTGTCATGCAATTCACCAGAAAGGATCTGGATTTTAGGGATGCCACTTGTTTTACTCTCAAATCATTCCATACTCCAGATCTGAACAGGGAATTTATATTTTCTTGTGCTGTGCTCTCCAGCTTTTGACAGGTAACAACTCTTGGGCCTGATTGTACTCAATTATCACATGCCCAGAGGACAGACAGAATTTGGTAGCTACTGCTCAGCAGAGCTGCAGATGTATGCCCCAGAGACCAATGCTCAGAGGTTGCCCTGGTTTAATGAGTTCATTTCACTATTCTGCTCTACCACCCTTGCTTAACATCACACAACCAGTTTGAGGTCTCCACTGGGAAACTCTTGAAAAATAGTATTTCCTTCTTATTTAAAACCTGAGTCCTGTGATTTGGTAGGTTTCTAGTACAGCTATGCCAGGAGAGTCAGATCATGTGTGAGAGATGCCACTGATAGATGAAAATCAGAGAGAAGAAAGAGACTGCTTAAACACACATTGTAAGGCATGAGTTAAACCCTGGAACTAGAGATGCAACCTGACATGAATTGTTAACTCATCATGTGGTCAATCACTTCCTTCCAATGCAGTCAAATGCCACATGTGTTGATGAACCTTGTGGGTCCCTTCCAACTCAGAAGTGTGTTGTGTTATATTTCTGTGTATAGTGCTATATTTCTGTGTGTTGTGCTTATAGTTCATAGAAACATGAAACCTGCTAATCATACTTTACCAAACTACACAGCTGAGATTAACATATTAGTAGCCTTCTGGCATCAAACGTAGCCTTGGAGGAAACCAAAAACCAAGTCTGTCTTTGAAGGTTACAGTCTCTGACAACCATCATTTCCCTGGTGAACACCTTTTATTCATGCAGCACAGCTGGATGGACTAACTGCACATCCCAAGTGTTGAATTATGGTTTTCAGTGTCTCGGGTCCTTGGGAATTCTCTGAGAATTTGATCAGTGAAATGAGAGACAAAATAAATCCTTAAGTGTGAATAAATTTATGAGGGGTTTGGAAAGGCAGCTACTTGCAATGCTCAGAAGCCAGTGCCCTCCTGACTTGTTTCTTTCCCTTAGAAACATAATTTCTGCACCTTATACTACAACAATGCACAGTAGCTTCAGATGTAGTCAGGGATTCAACAGCCTGGATTCTGTCCATTCTGCAGCAAGAAGCAAGAGTCCCAAAATGCCCATGAGTAAAATACTTGCATTAATATCTCTTGATGAAGGCCTTCAGATTTGGAAATACAAGCACCCAAGCTGTGGAAATTGTTTAGGCTGAGAACACTTATGAGAATGCATCAGGGCAAAACTATCAGACTCGTCTTAGACTTCTTCCCGCTCACAGCCACTGCTGTAAGACAAAAGGTCAAGCTACATCAGACTCTGGCATGAAGCAGCCTTATCAACTCTTAGGCTTCCATTCACCATATTTTAGTACCAATGGAATTAAGTGCCAAAACTCTAGCAGGGCCAACCTACCCAAAGATGTAAAGGAAAGATTCGGACATGTGAGCATCTAATTTATATTCCCCAAGGTATTACTTAGTACCACAGCAGTTAAGACATCTTTCCCATTTCTCATCCAAGGGCACAGATGATTCCACTAGTCCAGCTGGTTTTAGCTTTGAACCACCCTGGTGTCCAAGGGTTATGCTCTGCTGCTATACAAAAATAAGGGATGCACCTCCTCCAGAGGATTCTGCAGGGAATATCCTCAAGATTAGACTGGCGAACAGCTGCTTTGAAATAAAAGGATTTCTCTGCAAAACAGGAAGATGCTTTCAGGACTTTGGAACAGCATTCAATTTTAACTTTCTGCATGCATGTTTGAACTGCAAAATGAGACATCTTTGCCATATTACGTGATTTGTAAGCAAATAAAGAAGAATACATGCCAGGAAGTAGAAATGGACTAAGCAATTCCAGACAAAGAATGTTTATGCCCACACAAAGCTTTGTCCAACATCTCGAGAAAAACATGATTAACAGTACTGTGCTGATCTTAATCAGATTTATTAAGACAAATGTTGAAAATCCAGCGTGCATGTTGTGTGTGGGTAACTAAAGAAGAAGAAGAAAAAAAAAGGCCAGATAAAAATGCCCAGAGGGAGTGAGCTAATGACTATCTTCCCATTACCTCATGGGATCATTAGGTCGACATGATCTCTCCGCGGCCAGCACCGGAGCCGCTTCCCCGCCGGGACGGAGGCCAGCGGCCTTTCCCTTCCCCTGCCGTCCCCTCGCACAGGTGCACCCTCAGCGGGAGACCCGACCCGCCGCCATGTCGGGGCGGGCACGGCGGGACAGCCACCTCGGCTCGCCGCCCTGCCCCCTCCCCGGGGGGCTGCTGGGCAAGGCGGCATTGTTGGCCGCGTCCATCACTCCTCGTCCCCGGCTGACATAATGAATGCGCTTGGACACACCTTCCAGCCCGGCGAAGAGGCGCCGCGTCTCCACGGACAGCCTCACCGAGCCCTCCGCTCCGCTCCCCACAGCCCTCGGGGAGGCGCCCCGCCAGCCCGCCCGGCCCCATAGCCCGGCGCCCCGTCCCAGCCCAGTGAGGGGCCGCGGCGGCCGGGCCGGGCTGGGCAGGGCGAGGAGGGTAGAAACTCTCGCTATGCTGCCCAGCGCCCTTTACTGGGACCTGGTGGGCTCCTCGGCTCTCCTCAACCTGCCGGCGGCGCCGGGCTTCGGCAACCTGGGCAAAAGTTTCCTCATCGAGAACTTGCTGCGGGCCGGGGCTCCGAGCCCTGCCCAGCTCCGTCCCCTCCCCGCCAACCCCGTGCCCCTCAAGCTGTGCCCCGCGGCGGAACAAATCAGCCCCTCAGGGGGTCCCTTCCCGGCAAGATGGGCTTTCCAAGTGCTTAACCCCTCGGCGGCGGACGGCGGCCGCCCGCCAGCGCGGGCCGCGGCGGCGGAGAGAGGCGGCATCTTCCCGCCGGCAGCCACAGGTGAGCGCCGGCCCCTCCCGCGTCCTGCCGCCGGGGAGGCCGGACCGAAGGGCTTGCCGAGGGCTCGGCCCCGCGCTCCGCACGCGGAGACGGCGGCAGGAGAGGCGCGGCCGCCCCGAGGAGCCCGCAGGCGGCGGCGGGACGCCGAGCCCCGCCGGGTACCGTGCCGCCGGGGCTCCGGCCGAGGGTCTGGCCACGGGACGCCGAGGAGCGGGTGGTGCGGGCTTCCGAGTGCGGCCGGCCGGCGCACCTGTGGGTGCAGAGAGCGCGGCAGAGCCCCGTGATAGCGGCGTCGGGTGCTGTTAAACGCCCCTAATCGCAGTTCTTTCAGGTCTAGACGTCCCGCAGCCTCAAGAGGTGGTAGAAGCTTCGCCGCCAACAGGCGCTCCGGGAAAGTCGGAAATTCCAAGTTTTGGGAGGAAGGCGAGCGGTCCCATCCTCCTGAGTAGCGATAGCTCGGGAGGCAGCAACCCATTTCTCTACACGCCCTGCCTTGCGGGATAGCAAGGCGTGGAGGACCCGGCTCTTCCTGCCAAAAGGAAGATTAAGCCGTGTAGAACAGGCAATTTTTTGGAAGTTTTGACAAAACTAGGGACGGGGGATAAAAATAAAAAAGTTTTAAAGAGGTGTAAAGGTGCGTTATCAGCCGTTCGGCCCGGTGTCACGCTGAGAGCCAGCGCCCTGCCGGGCAGTGGGGACCAGCTCGCGGGCGCCGGGGGCCCGCAGGAATCTGTGCCAGGGAATTGGAAACAAACAGGTTTACAAAACACGTTCAGTTTCTTGAATGCGCCGATTTTCCTATAAATACATTTTGTCTGGGTACGAGAAACATATTTTAAGAAATGCGTACTTCTGTTAGTCATGGAACTGATTGTAGTCAATTAATTAAATTTGGTATTAGACTCGCTATCTATATCGTATTTTGCTTTTCTGTTAGAATGCATAAATTATTCCAATATTATGCGGTATTTTAAGAATTTTTATTTATGATCATGCAGTTTTAAATGCATTTAAAATGAAAATCAGACAAGCAGAATTGTATTTATTGAATTAATTCTTTGAGATGTGAAACCAGAGGGCTTGTTTTGAAAACAGAAGTAATTGTTTTCTTTTCAAACATAATTGGATCCTGCAAATTGTTCTTCAAAATCCAAAGCAGTGTTTGATCCTTTAGCATTATGTACTTTAAAGATAGCCAGGAGAGAGTCAAAGTGTACATTAAAGTTTCTGAATGTTGCTGACCTCTCAGGTAAGTGTTACCTTAAGCATATCAGTTACTTAAACGTGTTTAACTAACTGTAGGCTAGGCCAGGGAAAAGGACAAGTGTCATCTTCCTGCAATTCGATGAATATTATCCCTGCCTGCCCTTTGCCCTTACCCTGAAAAAATGTTCTAGAGAAAATGCTATATTTATTTGTGGAACGAGAGAAGCAGATGCCCCAGCACTCTTATTTGCTAGAGGTAAAGGTATTTTGTTGGGTTTTATTTGTTGTTGTTAGTTTGTTTGTCTGGGTTTTTGTTTGTTTAAAAAAGCTATGGGTAAATTACTACAGAAGTTCCTGAATGTCAGGTTTTGCAAATGCTTGTTTCCAGGATTATTTCTTCTTTTGATCAACCCATAGCAGTAGTTGTGATTTTAGTGTGTTAAGTCTGCCTAGTGATTTGGAGTCCAGTCCTGTGCTGCTTCTGATTCCACAGCTCTCACAGATCTTGGCAAGAGCACCAGGCTCTTAGATTTGAGCAGGGAGAAATACTAGTGTTTCCTCATTCATTGTGCCCCTAGAAGAAAATTCTCCTGTGACTGTACACTTGCAACAGTGACTTTTATAGTCTAACAGGGATCTGTTGATTCTGATCTCACTTGTATGTCTTAAAGTGATGAGGATGCTTAGTTGTCTCCACGTTCATAAATTTGAATTAGATTGGAACTGTCTTCCTGAGCCAGTTTGTGGTTTCTAAGGAGTCTCTCTTCTCTAGTGTAGGCGTATACTGAGGAAACTGTTCAGACCAGACACTGCATTTGTGAGTAGGGCTGGGGTGGTCAGGCTATATGTAATGTTTCTTGTTTATACAGTGATAGGGCAAAGAAGCATTTTGGCAGAACAAAAATTTTAGCCTTCGGGGACTAATGAAGATATTTTAACTAAGGAATTTGTGCTAGGTAGGGTTTTTTAGTTTACTGATTTTTTAAAAATAATAATAAGCTCATATTTGGAACCCTCAAATCACATGCCATTTTGGAAAATCTTTCTCAAAGTCTTAAAAAAGATTATTGAAAATGATAAAGTAAGTTTTTTTCAAAAAATATTTCTGAACTAGCAAGTGCTTTATAGATCATGCAGGGACTAAAAGTTCCCTAATAAACTAGCTTGGCATAAGCCAAGCTTTCTTTTATTTTTTAATTAAAAAAAAAAAAGGATATTGAAAAAGTACCAGACTTTTTGGAAACAGTATATTACTCAAATTCTGTAGTGAGGTCACCAAAAGTTCTCAAAAAGAAGGAAGTGTAGAATCACACCAGGGACTTAACTGAATAAGCTGAACCTTTTTATATGTATCCAGGGTACCTACAAAGGGAAGACTTGAAGAAAGCACTCCATTTTAGAGTATCTTTTAACACTCCATAAAAGTGCTAAAGAATGTAAATCCTGTATTCTTTCTGTAAACTGGAAAGCACTTATCCATGGTGGCAAAGGAGACCAGGTGGGTTGGCATTCTTGAGCTGGGCTCTCTCATCATGGTAATTTTTCCTTTTGTAACTCCTCAGCAACTGAGTTGTATCAGCAAGTTTCCTTCCCATGATTTACAGGTTTCAAAGTGTTAGTTTGACTATTTCAAGTGCTTATCTGCATGTGTGTTTTACGTATACAAAGTTATCCTGCACAATTATCGTGATGATCGTAATTATTATTATTATTATAAAAAACTGAACGAGAACTCAGGAAGTGTCACACCCTAAATATTACATCTAATGAGCATGTTAGAAAGAAATATATTTGTTGTCTGTAAAAGTGTAAATAATCACTTTCCATCATTATATAAGTTTTGAAAAATTAAATGTAATAATTGTAGTGTTGCAAATTAGTTTGGTTTAATTTAATAAGAACATGAGCAAAGAGCATGTTACATAAAACTTAGGAAAGAAAAGCAGAAGAAGCATTACTGCTTTTTGATAAACTCATGAGCCTTTTGCAATGGTCTGCCAATTTATACTGGGTTGGGATTCCCACAGGCTTTCTTGCACTTCATCTGAAGCCCCTTTGCTCTGTGCTGTCCTCAATTTCTTCTTGCTAATCAGGGTTTTAGTCCCTTGACTCCAAGCCTATTGTTATCTTCTGGATAAATTAGAAGACTTGACAGTTTTCTTCAGTGCTTTCTGACACATAAAAATTGGCCAGACGATGCTGAGATGCTGTGTCTTGTAGCACAGGTGCTGTAAAGAGGTGCACTTCAAATATTTCCTCATGCCTTAGTTTCCAGAAGTATTGGCTGGCACTAGAGCTGAGTGACCTCCTTGGCAAAGTGAAGTTACTCTGCTACCTGAAATAATTTTTCTAAGTATCTCTGCTCTTAAGTAATTTGTCCTGGAGGAGGTTGACAGTTAAGTGCTTTACAGTGTGAATATGGTCATGTGTCAAGACTGTGACTTTCTGCTTTAATTTTGGCATTTTTGTAGATGAACAGAGAAAGGAAATTGAAAACTGCAGCAAAACAAACAGTGAGATAATTCCATTGTAAAACCTGCTGAGAAATTTATCTTAGGGGATTTTTGCCTAAAGCATCAGAATACAAGAGAGCAGAATGAAGGACACCACATGTAACACAAAAGAAATCAGAAGAACTATATAATAAATATAAATTGGACTTAGAGTAAGCATGTGTAGATGTACTTGATACATATCCAGATACATTTGTGCTATAGATGTGTCTTTTCTTTCTGTAACATTTGGGTACTTCACATTTTGATGCAGTTATCATCAAACTGTGCCAGTGAGATAGGAGAGATTTCTATTGCGTAGACGGGAAGCTGGAGCAAAACCAAATGAGGTGACTTACCTAAGATAATACAGAAAAGTGGTAGCATTGCAAGGAAATTAAACCAAGTCTTCTGCAGGCTAAGTATCTGGAAAATGATGTAAATTTTTCCCTTCTCAGGTGATGATACCAAATCTATCTTGTAATACTTACTCGAATCAAACATATCTTATTCCCCATATTTAATAAAGTGTCTTGTGTTTCTTTATAACAATCAGGAGACAATTAAATTACTGAAATTTAAATTATATTTTTTCTTTCATTTTGGACCTCTTCTTAATGAATTAATGCTTATTAATTATTGATTTTAAGCCAACTGGCAGCCAGGGTGTGTCCTCAAGCGACATGTAACACTAGCTTTCAGTAAAATAAAAGACAGGAAAGAGTCCAATGTTTTGTCTTGACTCATCTAACTCAGGCAACAAGTTGACTGACAAGTCTTAGGATTTTCTTGTTTTGTGGGTGTTTTTTGGAGATGGAAAGCTTCTTTAAGGTGGGGAGATCTATTTGGCATCTTTTCTTATTCCCTGATTGCCAGGAGTACTGAGACACTAATTGTTTTGAAAGTTTGTCTTTGGAAGCAAAGGAGTTTTTGTAAGTGTTAGAAATCACAGACTAGCACGTTTCCTGTTTCCAGTTAACTTTGTGAGCCATTTAATAGAATTGGTCTGGAATGCCCAGCGTATTTTAAGAATGGCTGCAGAATGGCTTTTAAAGGACAAACTGTTGTCCTCATTGTGAGGTTGCCAGAGCTAGACTAGTGCCAGCTACTCTCCGACCCAGCCGCTAGTCTGGCAGTCTGTGCTCGGTGAGGAGTATGAGCATTGGCTGGACACTGCTCCTTCCTCTGGCTGCTCTCATGGCGCTGTCTTAGAAGGAAGAGGTTCCTGAGTTTGGTCCTTGGCAAGATTTAGATACTACCAGAAGATCTCAAAGCTGCACTAGGAAGACAAGTGGTGGAGTT